ATGCTGCAACCCTTGCGGAAACCTGTGCAGCATTGCCAGCTATCAGTGGTTTTTCGAAGACAGCTGTATGAAGGAAAACAAAGTGGAAAGGAATTTAAAAAAATCATCAAGTGCTTATTTATGGTAAAATTTAGTGATTAGTCATATTTTGAAGGAAACGATGGATTCTATTCCAATTGCAATTATAGCAGCAGAGTCAGAGCGCGCTACGGAAGTGAATTCACAGACGTATTCGGAGCTGTCGGGCATAGTAACCACGACGCATCTATGTCAGCTTCTGGTTTAATTGTTCACCTCCTATGCCTGAAGAACTGGTTCTCAACCCAGTTAATGCAATAACAGCTTCTTCCAAGCCATTGAAAACATGCACTTTGTTGGGTCCACCACCTGTTGCGCTTGCTCCTGCCTTCGGACGCGCTTACGGATAATATCCCTTACTAAGTACAAGTCTCCTTTCTGTCTTGCCGGAGAAGAAGTGCTTCCGCATTTCAAAGGCATGCGACATTTCTTATATTATTAATAAATGAAAGTTTAATCCTTTGATTACCCGTGTATGTAAAAGTTTTTAGATTCTGGTTATGCGTTTTGACACAACAACCGAAAATGATTGTACTAATAACTAAACCGGACCCAAGTTTCTCGATAAGGCCAACAAAGCCTTTTTTTGTTCATTTATATAAAGCAGTGGATAAAAATATACGTATATACGAAAGCCAAATTTATCTGTTTAAATGAACACTACCAATATCGCAAAAAGCTGTCAATTTCTTACGCGTTCGTTTTTAGGCATGACATTGGTACGAATTTCGAAAGTTCGAAAATACGATTCGGATTTCAGCATACTATTTCTACGATTCGTAGCAAATTCCGAATACGAAACAGTTGCAGAATAGGGGTGTCAGTGATTTTAAATTTTGCTCCGACAGCGTAAACTCGTCGTAGAGTATCTGTACGGATCTTCATTACGAACGGATTCAATGAAGGCTCTCTAAGAATTTCGAATTTACATTCGTAGCTATTCGGATTCTGTGATAGCACTTTCGTAGATTTCACGAAAATCGAAGCTACGATGGATTCTATGATAACCCTGTTGATTCCGACAGCATAAACTCGTAGTGTATCTGTACGAATCTTCATTACGAACGGATTCAATGAATGCTCTCTACGAATTTCGAATTTACGTTCGTAGCCATTCGGATTCTGTGATAGCACTTTCGTAGCTTTCACGAAAATCGAAGCTACGATGGGTTCTGAGATAGCCCTGAATATCTGCCATTTCCTTCACAAGACAAAATACGTTCGGATTATTTAAATAGCAGTACATACTTATCGTCACCTTAACAACCTTATCGTCACCGTAAGCAACAATTTTTTTATTTTACAGGAAAGCAAAAAACGTTATAAACTGAGTAACAATAACAGGGCTTTTTAAAAAGTGGCATGTAACTCCGTTGTTTTTGGTACTAAGGCTTAAAAATTTTTATCGAAGATGTTTTTTAATACATCATACCGAAATCTGTGAAAAACGTTATCTATGTTCTACCTCAAAAAGAAAATTAAAAAAAATCTCTGCTAAGTTTATTAGCGGTTCGGACTCAATCGCCCTTATTCCGATTGTCGGAACGACAGTCGTTCGTCGATATTTGAGATTTTCATTGGCGTTATAAGGCAACCAATGACAATCTACTACACATTTGTATTCCTATTATCCTTTCGAAATGAAGTATTGAAAACGTGTTAAAATCTGTCCTTAATGTTTTTATTTACGACATAATTCAACGAACGACTGTCGATGCGAACGACTAATGACAACCAGAATACGGATAAATATACATATAAGTAATTAAATAAATAAGTTTTTATTGACAGCGGGAGCGGAGTTAAGAGCGGAGCTGGGGACTTTTAGTTGAAAGCAACAATCGCCTGGTGTCAACTAATCGCCTCTAAAATTGCCTTTAAAATCGCCTCATGCGAACACCGTATAAGGAATCAGGTATATTTACATGTTTGCGGCAGCCGTTATGCGAGTGCACCGGTGAAATACTCGTGTAAAAAAAGGTTGCTAAAATGTTTGGAGATACAGTCAGTCAATAAAGTACATCGACATTTTTCCAATACGGGCAACTGATTAAGTTTTCGCAAATTTTTTAGAAAAATATGGTTCATTCTACAACAGAAACCCCAAAAATCAGAACTCCAGTGTGCAAAATAAAAGAAAATTCTGCAAATTTTCATTCAAATATTGCAGTTTTTAATTACACTCTCTCGGAGATCGCTATCATGAATTCTGTCGTGATCACGAAATTCTCCCGCAAATTCACAGATTTCGATTTATTTTGTTGTGATTTATTTTACTTTGATTTAGAATTATTAAACCAAAACATAAAAACAAACCAAAATCAAAGGCAGCACTATGAATGTGCCGGAATTGCTGATAGCATTTCTCCCGAATTCGGGACGGGAGCTCAAGAAAAAAAGGGACACTTTCAACAAAAACAAAATTGCCAAATATCAATGGTAAGTCCTAGCTGTGTAAATGGTGGTTGAATGGTGAAAAAAATTGCATTCTCAACTTTTTTCCAAAGAGTGTAAATAGAAAGTGCAATATTTGAATGAGAATTTGTAAATTTTTTTAATTTGGCACAAGGTTTGGAATTCTTTTTTGTGGTTTTTGTTGTAGTATTAACCACATTTTTATAAAGAATTAGCATAAAATAAAATATTTAATAAACAGTTTCCCGCATTGCAAAAACCCTCTGCACCTAAACTTTATTGATTGACCGTACATATTTTCTATTTTTCGCAAATAATTATTACTCATTGGCCCGAAACCTACCAAAAACCAATGAAGCCTACCAACCTACCATATGGAAACAGCCTACCAGTTTTGGGAGCATGAACATGAACAAATATTCCCAAAAATTATAAAGCAAAACAAAAACAATGTTTCCCAATTTGCTTTTGTTTTGCAGGCTAAATTATGGGAACGATTTATTCACATGGAATTGGCGATAGGGCTGAATACAATTTAAAAGAGCGAAGCATACTAGCTATCGAATAATGCCGCGATCTCAAAATCAAATTTCGATTCGAGTTACATTCGATAATCGCCGCGATTCGGGCCGATTGTTGTTGTTGTTGTAGCGGCTACTACGAGCCCGATGCTTCGCTTGGTGCATTTCCGAATAAATCGGCACAAACAATTTACAATGTTTTACATTTTTCTATAGCTAATCGGGCGGCATTCTTTACTTGTTTCAAAAAATTTGTATTTTTACTCAATTTGTAGTAAATGCTTTCTGCGTTGATGTTTTTTCGAGCAAAGTTTTATAGCTCATTCCCGTTCGGAGCCGGAACAAACTGTTTGTGAGTCTCACTAATTGTGCAAAAAATGTGTAGTGTACTGAACTAGAATAACAATTTAGTGTTCCAATGTAGCGCATAGCAATGTAGAATTACTCTCGGCGTATTTACATTTTTTACCTTTCTAAATTCAATATTGCTGAAAAGTAAAACACATACACGTTTACGTTCAGGTATTAATGAAAAACTGTTTCTTAATGTGCATTGTCACGTCTTTACACTTTTATTTGCTCTACTTTCTTGGTTGATTTCGAGCCATATCTTTAGGGAACGTTCGAACAGGTGGCGTACGAATGCGACGAGCTTCCTTGGAACGATTTCTTACAACTTTCGAGTGGATAGCGCAGGAAACGCAGTAATGAAGTTTTGCGTACAATTTTGGCAAAATGTATGCTAAAAACGATAAGATTAGAAGTAGTTTTAGAAGTAAAACAGAGCTAGACTTACTTTCCCATATGGAAGCTTCAGATATATCTCTCACCGCTGCTGCTTCTACAATGTTGCGAATAACAAACTTCTTAATAGCCTTATCTTTTGGAACGCAGCGGGCACAATTTGTGCAGCGTACAGGCTTCACATGGCCACGATTATGCTTGCAGCGCCCTCCGTTACGACGTTTCTTGGTCTGTGTAGCAAAAGAAAAAATAAAGTGAATTATGAATGAAATTTTCATATATCGCTAAAAGTGTTTCAGTTTTAAGGTAAGATACTCCATTAGTTTCCAACAAAGAATAACTGCTATTTTTAAGATAAATTCTATAAATTTTACACACCATTCTTCTAATACTTGTCTTTCAACAGGAAACAGAGAAAGGAAAGACACGACCGAAGTGAACTTGGCTGCTATTCACTGTTTGAACAAGCAAACATGTGCATGCCAAAACTTTCAATCAAGCGATAATTCACACTCTTCAAAATGTACTGTACTTCCATGAACGAAAGACACAAGATCACGTAAGAACAAGAGAGTGAAAAAAGTCGATTCTTTTAGCGGGTTCTACGCCATCTTGTTTCACTGGAAAACGAGCGAAAAGTAAACAAAGCAAAGAAAACAACGAAAACCAAAATTAGCCAAAATTATTGTCAGCCACTTTAAACGCACAATTTAGGTAAAATGATGCAACAAAATGCTTTAAAATGTGTTGTCATGTTGAATTAACTCTTCTTTACTTGAATAAAAGTGTAAAATAGTGGTGCTTGTGATGTAAACAAACGCCCAGCTGACGAACCCGCTTTCGCAAACTTTTTTCTCAAAACCAGTTAC